GAGGCAGAGGTAAAAGAATCAATTCAAGGCCAACACAAGCCACCAGCACAAAGCACGTGGATTGGATCTGTTCTATACAAAGCCTGCAAGGTGAAGAAAAGGAGGAGACTGGCATGTGGAACCCCGCCACCCCTCAACAGAACCTGCACACAAGGATCATGTGACACTCCTCTGCCCTGTTCAGGGAACCCAAAATGGGATCCAAAAAAAATGACCGTTTTCATGGGTTAGAAATAGTTGACAGGAACTGGTGAGATGGCTCAGTGGTTAAGAGCACTGATTGTTCTTCCAGAGGATCCTGGTTCAATTCCCAGTACCTACATGGCAGTTCACACCTGTAACTCCAAGATCTGACACCCTCACACAGATATACATACAGGCAAAACACTAATGCACATAAAAATAAATAAATATAAAACATTATTTAAAAAAAAACAGTTGACAATGGATAATTTTCTCTTTCTTTTTTCTTTTCCCAGACAGAGTTTCAGGCTGGAGAGATGGCTCAGCAGTTAAGAGCACTTGACTGCCCTTTCAGAGGTCCTGAGTTCAATTCCCAGCACCCACATGGTGGCTCACAACCATCTGTAATGGGATCTGATTCCCTCTTCTGCTGTGTGTGAAGACAGAGCACTCATACATAAAATACATAAATAAATAAATCTTAAAAAAAAAAAAGACAGTTTTTTTTGTTTTTGTTTTTTTTTTCTGTGTAGCCCTTGCTGTCCTGGAACTCAATCCGTAGACCATGTTGGCCTGGAACTCAGAGATCTGCCTGCCTTTACCAACTGCTGGGATTAAAGGCATGGGCTACCACCAACCACTAGTATTATTTATTGATAAATTCACAAATCTTTGGCCTCTTTGTGTGCATGTGTGTTGCCGTGTGTGTGTGTGTGTGTGTGTGTGTGTGTGTTTGTCCAGAGGTTGATGTTGAGTGGCCCCCTTGATTGTCTTCCATTCTGCTTCCTGAGGCTGAACCTGTCTCCAAAGCCAAAGCACTTGGAATCTGCCGGTCTAGATGACTAGCTTGCCCCGGAACTCCCATCTCTGCCTCCCCAGTGCTGGGATGACAGGCATCCTCCACGACTGCCTGAGTTCTTATGTGGGTGACTCTGGTCCTCAGACTTGCACAGAGAGGGTTTTATCCACTAAGCCATCTCCCCAGTCCCTTTCCTCATATAATTTTGATATTTAAAAAAAGAATTCCAAAGAAGTTCATTATAGACTGATTACTTTGTCTCAAAAAAATCCTAATTTGAAGCCCCAATCCTACATGTCTCAAAATGAGGTTATGTAGAAGGAGGAGGAGGAGGAGGAGATTAAGAAGAAGAAGAGGAGGAGGAGGAGGAGGAGGAGGAGGAGGAGGAGGAGGAGGAGGAGAAGGAGAAGGAGAAGAAGAAGAAGAAGAAGAAGAAGAAGAAGAAGAAGAAGAAGAAGAAGAAGAAGAAGAAGAAGAAGAAGAAGAAGAAGGTCCAATTATAATAAATAAGGCAGGCCCTACTCAGAACTGATGGGTGCCCTGTAGGAGGAAACTGGGATGTGTGGAGAGACAGTAGGTCGTAGAGTCCAGCAGAACAGCCACTGGAAGTGACCAGTGGACACCTGTCTGCTAACCAAGAAGAAAAGCCCCACCAGAAACAACCCTCTTGGGACCTTGTTCTTGGACTTCTGGACTCTAGACTGTGGGAAAAGAAATGTGTGTCATCTTAGCCACACATCTGCAGCATTTTGTAAGACAGCACAGTGTTCTGCATTTCTAAAAGAGCAGACCACACATCCAAAGAGAAATCAAAGCCCTCACCTCCTTGCTCCATCACCACCAAGTCTCGCCACCACGCCGAGCTACCATGGTCTCTTCATCATCTTAGTTTCTTTGCTGCTGCTGAGACAGACTATCTGGCAGAGGCAATCTAAGGAAAGGTTTATTTTGGCTTTTGCAAAGGAATCTCCACGGGAAAGCCTGGCGTTGTTTAGTCTTTTGCAAATTTGACACAAGCCAGGCTAGCCCATGGGGGAACATTCTTAACTAATGTTTGGTTAATGTGGGAGGGCCCAGCCCACTGTGGGTGGTGTTACCCCTAGGCAGGTGATCCAAGGCCTCTACTTCAGTTCCTACCTTCCAGGTTCCTGCCTTGGCTTCCCTCAATGGACTGTGACCTGGCTGCATAAACCAAATAAAGCCTTTGGTCATGGTCTTTATCACAGCAATAGAAACCCAACTAAGACAGGCCTCCTCTGCACCACTAGAAAAAGGACAAGGTTTATGCTTCAAGACCCAGAAAAAGGAAGATGGTGAAGACACAAAGAGCAGTCAATCATGGTGAATGTAGACAGCAAACTAAACGATTTAAGCACAATTACACTGCTGCTGTTGTTTTAAGACAGGGTCTCTGGTAGCCCAGGCTGGCTTCAAACTCCCCGTATTGTCAAGGCTGACCTTGAATTTATGATCCTCCAGCCTCCATCACTCCAATGCTGGGATTACAGACAAGAGCCACCATGCCTGTTCAATGTGGTGCTTGGGGTGGAACCTGGGGTTTCATGAGCGCTAGGTGAGTACGTACCAGCTGAGCTGCGCCCCAAGCCCTGCGTAGACATTTTTAATTCCATTTACAGTTGTGGTTAGTTTTGGTCACCAACTTGATACAACTAAGAGTCTTCTCAGAAGAGGGAATCTCAACTGAGGGATGGCCCAGATCAGATGGGCCTGTGGCCATGTCTGTGGGGCACTGTCTTGATTGATGGTTGATGTAGGAGGGACCAACCCACCCCTTGGCAGGTGGTCTTAGGTTGTGTAAGCAAGGCTGCTGAACACCAGGCAGGGAGAACAAACCGCTGAGCAGCCATCTTCCATGGTCCCTGCCTCTGCTCCTGCTTGAGTTCCTGCTCCTTTTTCCTTAGGGGTGGACTGTGACCTGGATGTGGAAGCCAAATAAACCCTTCCCTCTCCATATTGCTTTGAGTCCTGGTGTTTATCAAAGCAACAGAGAAAGCAAACTGAGACAGCAATCTTCTAGTTTACAGATGAGAAAAACGAAAACCCCAAGAGGTCCCCTTGTCCCACACCCCAGCCTCCAAAGTCCTACAGCTGGGAAATCATGAAAATCAACTAACTGAGATAATACGGGCTTCCTTTAAAATAAGACTGCGGTAGGGGGAGGGGCTGGAGAGTGGTCGGGAGACACACGCTCTGAATTCTTCTCCAAGTGCTGCAGCAGCACCCTTGAGGCTATCTTGGTGCTGACAGCGCCAAGAGTGTCTGACGGGAGGCTGGGGAACCATGCCTCTGTTCCAGGAAATTCCCTGGGCACCTCCTGAAATGGGCCCAAGTTCTCTCTGTTTGAGGAAAACAGTCCCAAGGTCACGGGCAAGACCCACGACCTCAAGAGGAGACTCCTGGAGGGCAAGGGGGCATCCCAGCTCCCAGACCCCATGTATGTTCCAGTCTCTCTACTCCTTGCCCTTGAGTACACACCTTGGGGGGGGCGGTCACCTTGAGGACACACACCATTGCAGACCCAGGCTTCCAGCTGCTACTTCTTCCTTTTCCTCCTCCTCCTCCTCCTCCTCCTCCTCCTCCTCCTCCTCCTCCTCCTTCTCCTCCTCCTCCTCCCTCTTCTTTTATGAGACAGAGTTTCTTTGTGTGCCCTTGAACTAGCTCTGTAGACCAGGCTGGCCCTCGAACTCACAGAGAGTCAGTCACCTGCCTGGCTTCCAGCTTCTTGCTGGGCTCAGTTGATTTGAAGTATTGATGGCAATGGGAAGGGAGGAGTACAGATTAAGGAGAGGTGGAGCTGGGCATTCATGTCCTGCTATTTCCCTAGAGGGGCTGTGAGGCACCAGGACTCCACATTGGGCAGCCTAGCATCACATGTATATCTAAACATTCTACTATCAAGCCCCTGATGTCCAAGGGTGAGGGGCGCCCCCACTGTTGCTAGCTTGAGAAAAGCAAACTTGTGTTACATCCACCCAAGCTGAATGGGTGGTGGGGAGGGATGGTTTCTTGCCTCCAGCCTAAGGCATACATTAAAATTGCAACTAGAATGTAATGGTGCTGAGTGAGGGCTCTTGGGAGTTTTGCTGTGCTGAAGATGGACCCAGGGCATCTTGCAGGCTAGGTGAGCACTCGACCATTGACCTACATCCTGGTTCATTGTATTTATTTTTTCTCAGGTCGCGTTTTGCTCATTTGTCAACTCCTCAGCTGATCTTGACTGTAGGCTTCTGAAACCTCTCCCGAATGGATCTCAGCTGAGCAGGTTGATCAATAGGGCAATCTCACCAACACTTCCAAGTTGTTGGGTTTCGCAGGATTGGCAGCTGGGCCCTAGGTTGGTCTCAGGCAGAATGATTGTGTCCCACAAGATGGCTCCTCCCCCCAGTGCTGGGATTAAAGGCATCCCTGCTCCTCATTGTATTTATTTTTCAATGAGACAGGGTCTCATGTAGCTCAGACTCACTTTGAACTCCCTGTGTAGCTGAGGATGACCTTGAATTTCTAATCCTCCTGCCTCCCCCTCCCCAGGACTGGAACTGCTGATGTGTGCAGTGTTGGGGATCAAACTCAGGGCTTCATGCATGCTAGGCAAGCTCTTTACCCACTGAGCCACAGCCTCAAATGCAGGTTCCCTCCAGACTCCAGGCATCATCTCCATTATGTCCTGTTGGTACAGTTAGGTCCCAGGATCCATCCAAATTCAAGGAAAAGGGATACAGACTCCAGCCCTTCAGAGGAGCCAGAAGTTCAGTGCAGAGGGGCATGCTGGGAATTTCTGCTACCATTCTCAAAGCCACCAAGTTTACTTCCTGTGCCTGGACTGGTAACTCAATGTGAGTTGCGAAAGTGGGACTCTCACCTCTGCTTCCACTGTGCTTGTGGGGCTAATTAATCTTAGATCTCTCAATAGCTGTGGACAAACGTGAAGTTGAACCCAGAGTCTAACCTAACTCCGTTCTCTTTGTCACAACGAACTTGAGGTCTCTCTATAACTCACCGGGAAGTCCGTGCACCCCATTACAGCCACTGGTCTTCATTGGTCCGTCAAGCCGAAGTTCAGAGCAGTTGAGTAACTTTCTTCAACGTCACACAGCATACCTGGATAGTAAAGGAATTGAACTCCTCATGCCTAGATGTGCGATAGTTTTCTTTTTCAACACTTAGTACTTGGGAAAACATGCCTTTAACTCATCTCTGATCTGCATCCTTAGCCAGAGAAGCTGTAGAAGCCAGAGAAGTGCCTCAGTTTCCCTCCAGGTGGCAGGTGGAAGCTGGGCATCGCTCCAGATTGCCTGGCCCTTCTTCCAGGTGCACCTCGGGCACTAACGAGTTAACAGGCTGGCGAACCTGCTGCGGAATCTCACTAGAGATATAATTACAGAGAATCACCACCCGGGCCTTCTGGGAAGGGTTTTGTTAGAAGTAGGTAAATAAACAATGTCCTGTGGTCTCCTCACCCTGTGGGCTGATTAACTCTTGCTGAGACTGTTCCCCAGTGACTGTGAGAGAGCGCTCCACCACCAGCCCAAACTCCCACTTGTTGGGGTTCCAAAGTCTCCCCAGGGCCTCTCCCAGCCCAGAGCCAAGCCTGGAGGACATCCCCCTCAAGGTAAGTCCATTGCCCCTGCTGGGAGCCTGGTGAGACCCCATCCAGTTGCTGAGTTAACCACCCACTACAGAATTCCTGGGTAGAAACCAGCCAGGCAAGCCTGATTTATTGCCTTTTAAAGTCTCCCTCGTCTTCCATTAGCCCTACTTCGACTGCCTCTATCTCTCATCTCCTTCTCCCCACTTATGCGCTGTAACCCCGAGTTGGGTGTTTTCCCATTAGCCCTGAGGTCTGAGCTGCCGAGACCTTTGCTGAGTCCCGCTTATCTCCCGCTGAGCATCTCTCCGCTTCTCCCACAAGCTGCCAATCTCCTCTCCACTTCTGAGAACTGAACAGAGCCTCTAGGGTGCTTGCTAAATTGACCTCTCTATTGGGTGACTCATCACCCCTGGGAACCGAAGTCTGTTCTTTCACTCTAAGCCATTTCGTGCCTCGGATGACCATCCCACACCCAGGTCGTGTGGCTTCCACAGTCCGCCACCCTGGTCCCCCACACAAACATCTCCACAGCATGACATTGCTCAAGATCAGAGTCTTGCTTGACTCTGAGCCCGGGGATCAGCAGGTCCCAGGTGATATGGTCTCCTAACAGAGGACCCCAGAGTGACCAATCCTGACCCTGTGACTTCTTGGATCTGTGACTTGGGGTAAGTGACCCAACCGGTCTGTTTTTTAGTTTCCTGGTCTGTAAAATAAAAACAACCCCCCCACCATGTGTCCTTGGTGGTGGATGTAAGGCTGGAATGACACCGTTAATGACTGTGAATCAAGTGTTTGACATGGCCACAGTGATGGTACAGAGGAATGTTTGAGCCAGAAGTAGTGGCTCATACCTGTAGTCCCACGGCTCCAGAGGGGGACGCAGGAGGATCAGGAGTTTAAGGCCAGCCTGGGCTACATAGTGAGGACCTGCCTCAAAGCAAAAACAAAATGAACCATCACTGTGTGCCAATGCAGCATCAGGTGGGGACATGTGTACCTTGCTTCACCTCCCCTAGTTCAAGCCACCAGGTGATTTACCATCTATTCTGAGACCTCTTTTTTTTTTTTTTTTAAGATTTCTTTTTTTTTTTTTTTTTTTTTTTTTTTTTTTTTTTTTTTTGGTTTTTCGAGACAGGGTTTCTCTGTGTAGCTTTGCGCCTTTCCTGGAACTGACTTGGTAGCCCAGGCTGGCCTCGAACTCACAGAGATCCGCCTGGCTCTGCCTCCCGAGTGCTGGGATTAAAGGCGTGCGCCACCACCGCCCGGCAAGATTTCCTTTTTAATTATATGTATGAGTGTGTGGGTCTGAACATGTGAATGCAGATGTCCAAGAAGCCAGAGGCATCAGATCCCCTGGTACAGAAGTTACAGGTAGTTGTGAGCCACCTAATATGGGTACTGGGGATTGAACTTGGGTTCTCTGCAAGAGTAGTCTTTACCACTCATGAGCCCTTTGGGGGGTTTTGTTTGTGTGTTTGTTTGCTTGGGTGGGTTTTTTTTGTTGTTGTTGTTGTTTTGAGACAGGGTTTCTGTGTGTTGAGCTGGCTGTCCTGGAACTCACTTTGAAGACTACGCTGGCCTTGAACTCACAAAGACAAACCACGATCAAAAGGAAGAACAAGTCAGGTGGTGGTGGCGCACGCCTTTAATCCCAGCACTCGGGAGGCAGAGTCAGGCGGATCTCTGTGAGTCTGAGGCCAGCCTGATCTACAGAGCGAGATCCAGGACAGGGCACCAAAGCTACATAGAGAAACCCTGTCTCGAGAAAAAAAAAAAAAAAAAAGGAAGACCAAACATCTTGTATTGGTCAGCTACTGCTGTGAGACAAACAGCCAGAAAGAAAGAAAAAAAAAATCAAGGCTTTCAATCAGAGGCCTTTGTTAACACTGTCTTCAGACTTGGGCTGATCTTGGCTGAGTTCATCAAGGCTCTTCTGTCAGCTTATAGTTGCAGCCTGGGCTCCATTCCGTGTCCTGAGGCCTGAGAAATGGCTCATGAGGTAAAGAGGCTTACTGCCAAGTCTGACAACCTGAGTCAGTTCCCCCCAGGATCCACAAGGTGGTATAACACCAATTCTCACAGGTTATCCTCTGACGTCCACGTGTGTGCTCTGTAGCCAGCACATGCCCCCCCACCTGAGACACACACACACACACACACACACACACACACACACACACACACACATACACACACACACACACACATAAATAGATAAATAGGTAAACGTAATTAAAAAAAAAAAAAAAAAGAGCAGCCGAGACATGGAGGACAAGCAGCTTTGTGCTCTGTCCCTTACAACCTCGGCTGAGAACTGGTCTGCCGCCATTTTTTGCCCAGCTTTAATGAACCCAAGCAGATTGCAACATCAACCTTCAGCTCCAAAGTCAGGTGTGGGGTTACCAAGTTACCCACCAGGAGCAAGGCACAGGAGCGTGGACTGGGGAGGGGGAGGGGGAGAGGAGCAACAATTCAAATTATCAAAAGGTGAAAGTAAGTGTGTGTGGGGGGAGACAGATAATGAGATAAACTGATCCAAAGCAGAAGGCAGTAGTAAGAGTCTGCCGGGCCTCCCAAGTCTAATAACTATTGTTTTGTTTTTCAAGACAGGGTTTCTCTGTGTAGCCTGTCCTGGAACTCGTTCTGTAGACCAGGCTGGCCTTGAACTCAGAGATCTGCCTGCCTCTGCCTCCCAAAGCTGGTATTAAAGGTGTGTGCTATCACGCCCAGTCTAATAATTATTATTTTTAAAATCTTCCTCCCACCGGCGGCGGCGGCGGTGGTGGAGCACACCTTTAATCCCAGCACTCGGGAGGCAGAGCCAGGCGGATCTCTGTGAGTTCGAGGCCAGCCTGGTCTACAGAGCGAGATCCAGGACAGGCACCAAAACTACACAGAGAAACTCTGTCTCGAAAAACAAAAACAAAAGCACACACACAAAAAAAAAAAAAAAATTCCTCCTAATGGCGGATGATGATTCAGTCTGAACTTTAAAATGATCCCTAGCCATTCCGTGGAAACACATCAGAGAAAGGATGGAAATGCCACACGTGGGTTCTGATCTGAGGCTGCTTGAATGTGTATGAGCTCGCACTTACGTCCTCCTTCCCATTTCCACGGTTGGCTCTTCCTTGGAGGAGGAACGGGACACCCTAAGTCTGTCTTTCAGCACCCCCAGAAGAGCAGCTTATCTATCATCTGCCGGAACCGGCCCAATCCATGCTCTTGCGTCACCTCACAAACTCCCTGCCACACTTTTTCCAGCTTGGAGAGCGGAGGAGAGAGACTTGCCGTGTTCTGCCAATATCAATTAATTTCTCTCCCAAGAGGTGTCTCCCTCATTGTCATAATCACCATATAAGAATAACAGCTTCCAAACACCCTACAGTTTCAAGCAAGCCCAGGATTTTTCTCCAAGCCCCACCCCCACCCGGAGGGAGAGCCGGGAGCTTTGGCCTCGGTTCCTGGGTGCTGAGGACTGGGAAGAGCCTCTGGCTGCCTTTGCTCACTCCATCAGAATGGATGAGTCTGAAGCGGCTATTTTTCCGCTCAGCACGCAAAAGCTCATTTTTTTTTTCCTGCCAGCTTGTCCCTTCGCCTGGACCATGAAATTCCAATCAATAAGACTAAGGGATGTGCTGGTCTTCTAAAGCTCTTGCCCAGGTGGGGAGACCACTATCCTCAGAGCTGGTGGGTTCGGAAACACAGTCGAATGCCCTGTGTCTCCATCGCAGGCATCACCGCCCGACCCTTCTTGCCTGGAAACATTCCTGACAGTCCCTGGCTTCCCTCTGTCGAGAGAAGCATCCATCTTAAGGCTAATCAGCCAGAAAAACCTGTTTTCCAGCTGAACCTCACTATTTTCCACCAAGACACAGAAAGAGTGGCACTTGAGTGGTTGAAACAACCACGAAACTCCCCCCCCCCCCCCCCCGCCGCCCCGCGCCGCCCCCGCACCCCCTTGGGAGCCAGGAGTAAGTACAGCCTCGTATTCTTACTCTATCACAGAGACACCACACATTAGACTACCTGCCTTAAGTTTGCTCTGGTCAGGGAGAAACAGGGTAGGAAATATATGCGGTAGTCAAGCCAGAGAAGGCAGGCCAGCCCAGCGGGGAGTGGAAACCTGCAAGCTGGAGAGATCTCTCCTAGACACTTCTCTTTGTCAGTCTTTCTGAATGAAAGGGGGAAGATTTACTGCCAGGCTTAGTCAGCCGTATTTTACAGCCATTTCAAATGGATTCGAGACAGTAGGGTAGCCGGCTGCGCTGGCCACAGAGGGGCCATAGAAGGCTCATTTTTTTTTTTTTTAAGAGACCCATCCAACATCATGGACACAGTAAAGTGGTGTTCTTGGCCAGAGAAGAAGAAGAAGGATTGGGCTGGAACCTTCGGAGGCCAGCGCTATTAAACACATGGCCAAATTGCTGAGGGTTTTAAGATGTAAAATGTTCTCGGTAGCTCTTGGTCAGCCCGGCCCTTTCTGTCCACTTAGCAAGATCTGTTT